TCACATTGATATAAACATAATTGTACCTGTACTAAAGTACGAGATACCACATCCATGTTTGATAAACAAGATGAGTAATGATAAATGTTACAAAATAAAGAATAATGCAATGCCAAATAATTCATGATGCATGAGTTAGACTGCGCAGGGACACCCCTTCCCTTCGGTGATCATCCCCACGCGGTAGATGAGCCGAGGAACGCCTTAGTCTCCGAAAGGAGCCTAGAATGTGGGTGGTAACTGAATGCCTAGTTACCATGTACGTACACAAGCCCTCCTCATGAAACTCGTTGGATCCTGAAGGCTCATGGACGGGCCCGCAAAAGAGGCGCACTAGGCTTGACCTTTTGTCACGGTATGTGAAACCCATTGGATCCCGAAGGTTCCTGGACAGGCCCACGGAAGAGGCGCACTAGGCCTGACCTCTTGCCGCGGTATGCAAGTATGCCATGATCCTAAAACATGCGTCTAGGATGTACATGATGAAATGAATGCATTGCTTAATGAAGTTACGCTCAACGCATATATATAGATTGATACCATATGAAATGATTCGTTCAATATGACGGCCTTGGGTTCAGAACGGCTGATAATCGATTATCCATCCCTGATAATCGATTATCACACATTGCAGATTCTGTTCCCAAAGTCCTGCAGACTGTGATAGTTGATTGTCACCCTCTGACAATCGATTGTCATGTTGTTTGTTCAAAAAACTCAAGTTCAGAGAGGTATTTGATGATATCCAGATCGATGGTTAATCTTAGAGAATAGAGTTGCTCCTATAAGTTGATCAAATAGGTCGTAATTACGTTTCAAAGGATAACAATTTTTTATTGTCACTTTATTCAATTATCGGTAGTCGATGTAGAGTTTCATCAAGCTGTTTTTCTTGCGTACAAATAAGACAGGTGCTCCCTGCAGGAAAACACTCCGTCAAATGAGTTCTTTGTCAATTAATTCTTGTAGTTGAACTTTCAACTCTTTCATCTCACTAGGAGCCATTCGGTATGGAGTTACTGATATCGGTCATGTTCCAAGAACAAGATCGATAGAGAATTTTACTTGCCTGAACTGAAATAAATTCGAATCGAAATATATCAGAATTGGAATGTATCCAAAACTGAAATTTATCCAAACTAATTTACATCCAAACCAAATATAGATCGACTCGGAAACAAACCAAAACAAAAAAATTTCAGAACCGAATTAAATCAAAATTGAAATTAAACCAAACCAATCAGGGGCAGAGAAGGGGGGCATGCATGGGGAAGTGCCCCCTGGTGAAATTCCGGCGTAATAGGAATAGGGTACCCAATCGACGACGGAAGGCCGGATTCCCGAACCCCCCCAGATTGTCGCAACGACGTGGGTCCATGCTCCAACAGTCCAGCTGATCGAAGAAGATAAGAGGAAGAAGCAGTTTCCGAAAAAAGCAAAACGACGTTGTTTTAATAATGGGTTTAATATAATTTATTTGACCCTGCCAAACACTACTCAGCCCAACAGCCTAATTGTCCAAAAACAAATACGGAGTGGCGCAATAGGTAGCAGCACAAACGGCGAAAGCAATGGTGCACTGCAGAAGAAATCCAAACGCAGTGGCGCAATAGGCAAGTCGGTCGAACTGTCGAAGGATTCTTGAATTCTTCCAATTTTGCTCTTTTGATTGATGAAGCTCGATATTGCTCTGTGAAAGATCAAATGTCGGTGATTTTGATATTTGTGAATGATAAAGGGGAGATTATAGAATGTTTTCTTGGATTAATTCATGATGAGGAGACTTCTGCAAGGTTTCTTAAAAAAATCAATTGATGATTTTTTTGCAAAACATGGATTGTCCCTTTCAAGACTAAGAGGTCAAGGTTATGATGGAGCTTCAAACATGCGCGGTAAATTTAATGGGTTGAAAACACTTATTCTTAATGAAAACAAAAATGCATACTACATTCATTTATTTGTCCACCAACTTTAGTTAGTTATTGTTTTGGTTGCACAAGATGGGGAGAGCGTATTTGATTTCTTTGAAAAGCTATTGATGATTGTTAATACAGTTGGATCCTCATGCAAACGGAAGAATTTTCTCCTTCAAGTACACGACGAGGAAACTTTGCATCGCATAGAAATAGGTGAATTGTCAACTGGTAGGGGGCAAAATCAAGCAACATCTTTAGCTCTACCAGGTGATACACGTTGGGGCTCTCACTACAAAACTCTTGTTCGTCTCTTTGATATGTGGAATGCTATTGGTACAGTGCTAAATTCGTTACACGAGCATGGTGAAACACCCAAATTTAAAAAACAGTGCTAGTGGCATTCTTGATAAAATGGATTCTATTGAGTTTGTTTTAATGGAAAGTTTATGTTGAAAGTTCTAGGTATGACTAACTATTGAGGACCCGTCGTGCGGTCCAAAACAAATTAAAAATTTATAAATAACCTTAGCTAACCCCCAAGATATAATAAAATAAAAACTATAGCTAGGGCCAGTAAGGGTCGATTCCACGGAGAAAGATTGTACTTTTTGAAATCAAATTAGCCTGCACACACATTGTCACTAAATAAAACAAACTAACTACTACACATATGATAAGACGTATAAAACTTATAATAAAACTTATAATAAACTTATAATTAAATAAATATAAAAACTCATAAATATAACTTAGATAAACAAAGAACTTATAATATAACTTATAAACTCATAACAAATAGTTAAGTATAAAAAAACTTATATTTATAACTTATAATTAAACACTTATAAAATAAACTTAGTAAATAAAAAACTATACTAATATAACAAAAGGGGGGGTGTCTTGGATGAAATGTAAATATTTTTTTGGTTTTTTAATATTTTCTCTTTTTTTTGGTTTTTTTTTGATAAAATGGGGGAAACAAGATCAAAAGATAATCAACTTCTCCAACTAAGGTAACCCAAGAAACACCGCCAAGAATCCAAAACAAAATTATAAAGAAAACAAACACAAGCTGAACATTACACATATAATAAGCACTTAGACAATATATTACGTAACTTACACACTTAATAATAGAAAATAATTCAAAGGATCGAATTGAAACATATCATTGACCACATATAGAGGATTGTGAGCTCTCTATAAGGCCCAGAGTCATGTAATTCAAAGGCCTTTTGAATAACTTTGAACCTTAACTCACCTCAAACACTCAAACAATGATTCCAAAAGATGAAAAAGTTTATAAAAGAGCGAATCTTTCTTTCATTCTAACTCCCATGCATAATATATTCACAAAAAACATTTTATACACTTTAATAAACTTTAACGTCTAATGATGAAAATATTTTGCATGTCTCCTTGAACACCTCAAGCATAAGAATTCTAGTCTATTCACATAAAAGAACATTACATATTTTCAAAAAACTTAAAAATTGTTTTTGTGCTTAAACAACCTTAAACTTTATTAAAATAAACAAATAAACACACGACATAACAATCACTCAATAACGAATCTTAAGGAAAACGTCCAGAGCTAAGAAGTCCAAAATACTTAAAATTTTACAAAACTCATAGCACAACGAAGAATCACATATGAATTCGGAAATTATTTAACTACTTATAAAATCAAACCGTGCTAAAATAGTTTCAATCAAAACCGAATTTCAAATATTAACCTACTTATGAAATCAAACCGTGTGATTCAACCAATTCAATGACAATTTGCACAATAATTGAAGAAAACTAATATGAATCAATTCTCATTCATAAGGGATTTAATATAAACATTAAAAATATAAACCCAAAAAAATGAACACCAACCATATATTTTAGAATCTTTCGAAATTAACATAAACAAGGAAAAAAAGTGTAAACTTGGATTGAAACAACACTTTTACAAAGAAATTGGAGAAAAAACAGAAATTGACAAATGGAGGGTTACCAATTTGTTGAAGAAGATGATGAAAATTGAAGTATTGGAGCTGAAGGAACCGCCGACCACTATCGCCGGAGCTGCTCCTGCCACCGCCACCGCCATCGTGTCCGGCCGCCACCATTGCAGTGGCTTGGCCACCTTTGCTTTGTTCCGGTAAGATTCTCCTCCCCTTTTCCATCTTGTGAAGATTCAGTTTATAGAATGAAGGAGCCAAATTTTTCCCATTGGAGAATTGAATGACCAAATTGATGGTCTATCGTTGCTTATGCGGAATTGAACGCGTCCCTGCTTTGTTGTTGCGCAGGTGTGAGTTTGAACCATAGTTTTAAAAACCGTACCGGACCAAGAACCGGCGAACCGGAGGTCAAACCGGTCCGGTCCAGCCCTTTGGACCACATCGCGCCAGTTCGAACCGGTGTGAACCGGTCGGTTCACCAGGTCGAACCAGTTTTTTTTCAAATTTGGCCAAAATATTTATTGCTCTAGTAAGGTCCGAACCCTTGACCTATTGGTTGTTATACCAAGCTATCAACCAACCAAGCAAGAACCTTTTTTTGTTACGTATTTGTTCTAAGGAGTATATATTCCTTAATTAAAAGAGCAAATATGAATTAAAAGATTTTTTTATTTCTTTGAATAAGATTCTTAACATTTTAAAATAGAAATAATTCTACTATGGAGTACGTGTCGCAAAAAAAATTCATTTTAATATTTTTAATTATTAGGCAAAATATATAAATAAAAATAAAATATTATTATTTATATAACTTTTAATGTACTTCTCGATACATGATTTTTATTTTAAATATAAGTTGACTAACAAAATAAGTTAGAGTGATTAAAATTTCAATCAAATATCATAAAGTTTTATGTGTGTGTGTCTATATATATATATATATATATATATATATATATATATATATATATATATATATATATATATATATATATATATATATATATATATATATATATATATATATATATATATATATATGTTTAAACCACTGGTTCGACCACCTGAACCACTAGTTTGACCAGTAAACCAGTGAACAAGTACTTGGACCGGTTCGGTCCCCGGTGTAACACCCCAATCCGTAAAACCCGGAATTACACGAATTAAGGTGAAACGAGAGTTAAATAAAAATTTCGCTTGACATTTGAAAATGACAATTACTTATAAATATTAAATTTACAGACTCTGGATCGCGACCCGTTTAAAAATATTTTCAGAGTAATGCGGAAGTACAATAATAATTAAATCATGACACATTTAAAATCTTTGATGATCAAACATTTGCCTGCCATCCTTGCATCTCCTCTGACTCAATACCCTCCGGGAGTGGTTCCGTCATTGTCCTCATGTTACCTACGTGTAGTCAACGAAATATACAAACTACACGCTCAGCGAAACCGCTGAGTGGTACCACGCTAGAATTGTAGAATAATTAACAGACATATACATACACACACACACACACACACACACACACACATATACGTCCACAAGGTGTATAATAATATTCATGATATGGCACATTATATCATATGATCAATTTGATGATTCATGATGATAAATATTTATTGATAATTAAATGATGGCACATTTAATCAATTTGCTTGTTCGTGAGGATGATTACATGACACCTATGTAATAGATATAATTGTTCTTGATGATGATTACATGACACCTATGTAATCAATGTACTTGATGATGATGACATGATGCATGATTCTAAGTCAACAAGGACGACCCTTGCATTGTGAAATTCGCCCATTTGGTACGACGAACTCAGCGGCCTTAGTCTCACAAGGGAGACTAGAAAAATAGGGGTGGTACTCGAAAGCCTGAATACCATGTACGTACACTAAGCCCGGTCAGTGATGTCGGACTACTAAGTCCCGCACAATCACAGCTATAAGAGACGCAATTACGCATGATCTCCTACGCATGCATATGATATGATATGCTACAATATGTGTGATGATATGAGTCATATGATATGAACAATTTGTAAACAATATGAATGGATAAATATACTTTATTTTATTTGGGTGAAATCTGATAAAAATTTCATTTACTTAAGCTACGAGGCTCGGAACGGTCGACCGTTTGGCGCGACGGTCGACCTTGATCTTCATCAGGTCGGATTGGCGGATCACCGTGATGGTCGACCGTGGTTGACCGGCGGTCGACCGTTGTTGACTGGCCGCGGAAGGCGGACTTCGGCTGGTTGGCGGCGGTCGACCGTTCGCCGACGGTGGTCGACCGTTCTACTGCCAGTCGTGGTCCGTTTCGAAGTTTAATACGACGGTCGACCGTTTGGGTCTGTGAATCTTTCTCTTGATATTTTGAGTGTTCAAAATACTTCTTTAAGTCTTTTAAACACCTTTGATTAACAAATACATGTTGTTGGGTTGATTTCAAATCTTTATATATATACTTATGTATATATATTAACTTTATGGATTTGGTGTATTTTGATCTCAACATTTAGATGACTTATATATGCATCACATATATATTTTGGGATGATTTCAACATACGGATTAATATATATGGTCATGTATGTATGTGATGAATGATTCAACAAGTCTACCGCAAGGGTACAGACCTGGAAATCATCGGTCGAAACCTTACGGATGAACGGGAGTGGAAACATCATCGAAATTCATCAACTTTGTCAATCTCGTCACAATTGGATAGCCTGCGGTATTTTGGGCATAGGTCCATCGTTTCTTCACGGAATCGCAAACCGTTTGATTCTGCGGATTTCTAAGATGTAAGGCTGTAACTTTCGTATAGAAAGTATTTCGAGTTAACAGATGTAAGATAGCGTAAATCGGACCTAAAGTCAAGGGAAAGTTGCTGTCCAGAATTTTGAATATGTCCATTTATACGATTCCGACGATTAACTAATTAACTTCAATATTCCAACACCAAACCTTCTCTACGATATCTTCCGGATGTTCCTAATAATTGTTAGAGAGTTTATGATGAGTATTTGGAATGGAACAACATGAATATGGTGAAGAAACATGGTTCAACCCGAGGAGCTCGCCACCACTGGCGCAGTCAAGGTATTTTGGCCATATCTTCTTCGTTACTTAACGAAATCGCAACCCGTTTGTTGGGCTGGATTCGTATCGTCCGGGGCTACAACTTTGGCTCAGAAAGTATTCCGAGATAATGGATGGAAAATTTCAGTTTTTACCTTAAAGTGGCTGCTGTGTTTTTGAGCTTAAGATTTGGAAACCTTGATACTTCTTCTTGTTTCTCCTTCTCCTTTCTTCGCTCAACAATGGAGTTAGAGCTGGTTTTTCCTCCTTCTTGGACTACCGACAGAGAGAGTAATGGGAGAGGAAAGATAAGATGATGATGGTGGTGGTGGTGGAAGATGATAATGAGGTATAATGATGAAGATGGTGGTGGAGTATTATATGATTATTCTGGAGGCTTGTGTTAATGGAGTTGGAGGAGATTGAAAAATAGGCTTGTGAGATATCCCTTGGTTGGCTACATGATTTGGGGAGATATTTGAGAATTAAGTTTTGGCTTTTAGCCAAAACTGAACAGTTCACTCCAAACGGTACGCGCTTTTTCGCCCAAATTGAAAACGGATTGTGTTTTTGGAATCAGACTGTCAAAACTAGAATTTTGATGTAATCGAAATATTTTTCTGAGAACTTTTATTTTTATTTAATCTCTGGGTCTGTCTCAGTCATAAATAAATTTTATAGTATGAATGAGATATAAATATATGAATTAAATCCAAATGATAAATATGGTGTTGTCAAGTGTCAAAAATTAAGATTTCTAATCTTATGAAATCTCTTTTCAATTGAGTTTATTTTATGGGTCAAAGTTACAAATTTTAACATTTAAAATCGTCATAGCTTGAAATCTATAAATCAGATTGGTTCATAAAATGTACCGTTGGATTTGTCTCTTCGAGACATATCCATAAAAATAAGATTTTAACAAAAAGTTATTATTTTTTAAATCCATTTATTTTTAGTCAAACGTACAAATATTCCTTTTTGGATAAAAACTACTTTTGTTTTATAATAAATTCTAGGCCATATTTTGTGGCGTTACAAATTTAAATCAAATATCATAAAATTTTAGAGTGATTAAAATTTCAATATATATATATATATATATATATATATATATATATATATAAAATATGTTTAAACCACTGGTTCGACCACCTGAACCACTAGTTTGACCAGTGAACCAGTGAACCAGTACCTGGACCGGTTCGGTCCCCGGTCCAGTTCTTAAAACTATGGTTTGAACTGGACATTAACCCTGCATTTTTTCTTTTTTAGACAATAATCTTGGATTCTTGGGTTGGGCTCCTTGACTTGGCTTTACTAATTTTGTGTGAGATTTGGTCTTTTGATAAATGTTTATACAAAAAATACGATATCTGATTATTTGGGTTAGGAAAAAATAAAATAAACAAAATAATAAAATGTAAAAAAATGATTAAAAAACTATTATTTGTGAATGAAAAATTAAAGACTGTAAAAATTGAAATTAGAGTAAAACTAAACTAAACAATTTAAAACTAAACACTAAAAGTATTTAAAATACCTAAAAAAGAAAATAAAAAGAACTAACTCAAACCCGACTTATCACTAACACCTTATCAAAGATATTACAAGCACGAGATCAAAATATTGGTTGTGCTTTGAATATGATTGGTGCAACAAAAAAGAACTAACAAGATTTTAGAGATCATGGTTGGGAAGGAAGTTATTGAATTTTGTGAAGAACATGTAATTGATGTACCTAACATGGAAGATTATCTTCGTGGGCGATCAAGAAGATGAAAGGTGGTGAACCCATGACAAATTATGTGCATTTTCGTGCAGAGATCTTTACAAAGGTATATTACTCTTATTAAATTTAAATTTTGATATCATTTTTGGAAGTATTTTAATATCATAACATATTAAACAAGTTATTATTGTTATAATTATTCTTTATTTGATGTTAGGTCACTGATATTCTTACTGTGGAAATGAATAGACACTTTACAAAGACAAACACGAATTTACTAAGATGTGTAATCTCTCTTGATCCTTCTAATTACTTTGCGAGTTTTGATCAAGATCAGCTACTGGAACTTGCTGTATTATATTCAGAAGATTTGAGTTCCAGTGATCAAGTTAAGCTTAGTCACGAACTTCAAAATTACATTTCTGATATGAGATCGAATGAAGTTTTTGCTAATATCCTCAATCTTGGAAGTCTTGCAAATTAAAGAAGATGGTGGAGATGAATTATCACACATATTTTCCTTTGGTATATCGACTTTTAGAATTGGCATTGATATTACCTGTTGGGACAGCTTCAGTGGAAAGAAGTTTTTCTATGATGAATATTGTCAAGATTGAGGCTCCATTCTGTTCAACTTATTTTTCTGATCTGATCTGATTTTTTGTAATTCTTATCTGATCTGATCTGATTGGACCTGATCTGGTCTGATCTGATTGGATCTAATCTGATAAGGTCTGATCTTATTAATTATTATTTGATTTAAAATTCAAATCATTAATTTGATTTGACTTTATAATAACGTTTGAAAATTGTAATGATAATTCATACTATAATATAATCAATATTTTTATTTTATGATTATTTTTTAATGAAATAAAATTAGTTAATTCATATATTAGAATAACCATTCATATCATAATGTAATAATAATATTTTTTATTTTATGATTATTTTTTTGATGAAATAAGAATATTGTGTTATTTGGTTTTAGTCGTTGTGCCTACGCCTTAGAGGGGTGAATAAGGCGCGTTTGAAAACTTTTTGGAGTTTAACAAAAATGGTGTTGGCAAATGCGGAAGCAATATACAAAACGCAGAAATAAAAGCGTAAATAAAATGCATACCAATTTTATACTGGTTCGGGAACTCCCTACTCCAGTACCTCGAGGCTCCTCCTCAAGGATTTCCGAATCCACTAAGTTCCGGTCTCTTGAACTCCGTCAAAGCACCGCACTAGTTTGGAAAACAACCCTTGCCAATAGGATTCATTCCGAGATTTCTCAACGGCTATCTCAAACCGTTTACAATGAAGATTTTACGGCTATCTTCTACTGTTCCCCTAAGGATTTCAAAGGCTATCCTTGAACCTTTACCCAAGGATTTATACGCCTATCCTTGACCGTTACAATGTAAGAATTTAACGGCTAATCTCGACCAAAACAATGTGTGTTTGAAGAACACAAAAGAAAATTCTACACAACGGCTAGAATATAAAAATGAAGAACAAAACTTAGCCGGTGTAGAAGGAAATTATACTCTCTCAAAAATACAATATAAACCTATGAATATGAGAGTATATAACTAGAAATACAAGCTCAAAGTGTGTGTATAAAATTCAGGAATTTAAGGCTCTTGAAATAGCCAAAATATTGAAAATAATGAATAAAAGAATGAACACACTTAAAATATAAAGCGAGGATGTTTGGAGCTTTGTTTTTGTTGAAATATGAAGTATTTGGCCTATATTTATAGTGGAAGATGTTAATTAGCCGTTAGGAGGTGATTAGAGTTGAATTAATTCAAAAATCATCAATCAGGAATAGTGTTCCAATGGTAACGGTACCCTGTCACGGTAGCTAGGTCTCGTACAGTAGCTAGGTACCTTCTCAGGCCAAAACTCTCTAGCGGTACCTATCCTCTTACGGTACCCCTTACGGTAGGGGGTCCCGTCCAGACGGTAGGGGGGTCCCGTGCTGACGGTAGGGGGTACCTTCTTAGATTGACTCACGGTACCCCTCACGGTACCTACTCACGGTACCTAGTGACCATTTTGGCAATTTTTTAATTTTTGTCCAAATCGTTTCTAATTTTGTTTAAAACATTTTGGATGTTTGAAAATGATTATAAAAGGGTTTTAAACATATTTTTTGAGTGCACTTGAGCTTGTGAATATAGGTATATAAAATCATATCCTTACATTGTTTTCTACCTATATTCTACGCGAGTTTAGTGTTTCGACTTCATTCTTGAGTACCGAATCTTAATGGATTCTTGTTGTACCTGAAGCACTTAAACAAACGTTTAGCTCTTATATTGTTTGTTAACATCAAAACACGAGACTTAGCAAACCAAGACTAACATATTGATTTAATATTTTAATAATTAGTTCATAATTAAACTATCTCATCCTTATAAAATATCAACGTGTGCTTTGCAGTATGAAACTTTTTTTTATGATTAATATAGCACCATAGATATAACAGTTATTTCAGTTACACTAAAATATACTATGTAGATCAAATGTTAGTTTTATTTAAGTCATGATCAAAGCTGATCAACTCGAAGTAGTAAAAGATCAAAACTTTAGAAACTCAAATTACAGGTAGTAATAAAAATGTATTTTAAAAGTAGAATTAGATTGACATTGTTAATGTATTTTAAAAATAATTTTTCCGACGTCTAATAGTTAAGGACTACTTTCTCAGTTTTCTATTTAACTTCTTTCTAAAGTTTATTCTTTTTCATTTTTAATAATAATAATAATAATAATACTTCTTGATTGGATCTGATCTGGTCTAATCTAATTGGATCTGATCTAATTGGGTCTGATCTGATCTGATTAGATCTCATCTAATCTGATCTGATCTGATTTTAATAAGAATAAGAAAAAAACAGAAAAAATAAGTTGAACGGAATGGGATCTGATATACGCAATCGTTTGGGAGATGAGCTTTTATCTGATTGTCTGTTGTACTACTTTGAGAAAGAAATTTTTAGGAGCATTGATAATGAAGACATGAAGTTATTATGCAGCGCTTTCAAAAGTTTGGATCTCGAAAAAATTTCTATCTCATGAATTAAGATAGTTACTATTATAGTATTATGTATTTTGTTTGTTTATTAAATGAATTTTTGCAGATGTAAATCAAACCAATTATAAATCTATCTCAAAAATATCTAAATCTGTTGTAAAATGAGAGAAAAACTACTCAGAGATTATGAGAATAGATATAATATATTTCTAATTTCTTCTCTCTATTAACTCTTCACTCTTCTTCTTATTCTTAATGGTGATTACAATGCAGGGATTAGGTCTCTATTTATAGTGGAGAGCCTTGGTATGGATACAAATACAAGTGGGAAGTACTGTACATAATTGATACTCATCAATGAGTGTCTTAATCTACTATTCTAGAAAATAGGCCTGATTAATTGAATAAATGAACAATCATTAATTTCATAACACTCCCCCTTGAATGTTAATTTTCAATTAATGATGGGTACTTCGTGAAATGTGTATAGTTTAGGAACCCATTCTAATTTTATGTACTGCCTCGTTAAAAACCTTGTCAGGAAAAACCCAGTGGGATAAAAACCCGATCAAGGGAAAAAGAGTACAGTTCATAAAATTCTCCCCCTCAGCTTAGCATAATTGACGGAGGCGACGCATGCCAATCTTGTGTACGAGTTCTTCAAATTTCTTTGGGGGCAACGCTTTTGTAAATAAATCAGCGAGATTCTCACTGGACTTGATTTGCTTGATGTCAACTTTTCCATCTTTCTTGAGATCATGTGTTGAGAAGAACTTTGGTGATATATTCTTTGTTCGGTCTCCTTTGATGTAACCTCCTTTGAGCAATGCATGCAGTATTGTCTTCATATATAGGAGTCGGATGACTAGTAATTGTTTCTATACCGCACCCACTCTGGATATGTTGGATCATTGATCGCAACCATACACATTCTCTACCTGTTTCGTAGAGAGCTATCAACTCCGCGTTATTTGATGATGTTGTAGTCAAAGTTTGTTTCATCGATCTCCATGATATTGCGGTATCTCCATAAGTAAACACATATCCTGTTTGAGATTTTGCTTTTTGCGGATCAGACAAATATCCTGCATCAGCGTATCCAACAAGAGTGGCCTTGGCATCTTTGCGGTAGAATAAACCAAGGTCGATGGTACCATTGAGATATCGCAAAATGTGTTTAATGCCATTCCAATGCCTCCTAGTCGGGGTCGAGCTGTGTCTGGCTAACAAGTTCACTGAGAATGCAATATCTGG